AGTAGGACGCATAGCTTTCATTCTCTAAGCTAAGAAGAACATGGATTGTCCGATAAAGCATCTGGGCGTAATTCGGTGCGACCATAAAACGCCGTCGAGTTCATCAGCCCATGTTCTTTTTCTGTATCCAACCGTTTCTTGAGTCCATCAATTATAGTCTTGTCTGTCGCTTTGACTTGTTTGTTCCCTTGGGGGCACCTTAGGGTAGAAAAACTTAAGTGAATTTTCCACTTGACACAGAAGTCGCTGAACACGATGGATGTGAACTGAGTGCTGTTGTCGGTGAGCAAACAATGAATTTCCAAACAAATTTTTTGACGTCAGTGTTGTGGATTTCGAGGTAGATTGCTGCTTCGAACCATTTTGTGAAGTAATCCGTGACGACCAACACGTACTGCTTTCTTATCTGATGATTGGTGGAGGGGTCCAATGATGTCCATTTCCTAACGCATTAATGGGAAAGAAGTGCTAGAGGTCATCAGAAGTTTGGTCGGAACATTGATCATCGAACCGTGTTGCTGACATTTTTCACATTGAGCTACGTATTTCTCGCAGTCCGTAAGCATGGTGGGAGAGTAATAGCCGGCCTTCTTAATCTTGAAAGTCAGTTATCGAGCTCCAAGATGGTTCCCACCTTCGCCATCATTGACATGCTTCATAAAATCAAGGATATCATCTCCGTAGACACAAGTGAGTAGTACCCCACCGGCATTCCACTAGTACAAACTGCCTTTGTTTAGTACATAACGAGTTGTGTAAACTTTAAGTCGGTGATCGGCCCAGTTATCGGCTGGAACAGTGCCGTCGTTGATGTCGGCCACGATTTCCATCGTCCAGTCCTTTGGTTGTTCTTTTTCCTCGGCTTTGATGTCGATTAGGACGTGCTGTCCTTCGAACTTATCTTCTGGGTCAGATTCGACGCTACTGTTTGCATTGAGGTCGGTATTGAAGTCGACGACGGGGTTCTGGACCTACTTCTTTCGTGGTGGAGGCGGCTCTAAATTCGGATTGACCTTGTAATCGTGGTAATGGGTAATGATGTTGAAGTCAGGTCGATCGATTGCTTTAGTCGGGACTGTTAGTCAAAGGTGGAGGTCCGAATCGGATGTGAGAGTGGCTAGGGCATTGTCAGAGGTGTTCTTGTCTCATGGTAGCTTTGTTAGCTCGAAAGTAGTAAAATCGGAAGCGATCTTCAAATATCCATCTATGCGATCATTCTTGGCTTCGTACTCGCCATGAAACTGATTTACCACGAGTTGGCAGTAAGCATGAATGTTCCGAACACCGATTCCTCTGGAAAGTCGTAATCTGGCAATGAGGGCTTCATACTCTGCTTCATTGTTTGAGGCCAAGAATCCAAGACGAAGAATCATGTGCAAGTACCGGTCAGTGAGCAGAAGATGAAAACCGAGCCACCGAAGAAAAAGAGCAAGAAAATGAAGTTGAAAGAGATTGTAGCGGCTGTGGACGGAGGAAGATGACATTACCATCTTGTATGGCATCATCAACTACAAAAAGGAATCTGGTAAGTTCCCTAAAGACGAAATGGAAAGTTTTTACGAGTCACTGAAGGAAGATATAATCTATGAAGGTAAAAACCTTCAAATGTTTGCAAATTAGATTTACACGTTGAAGAAGAAATATCGCACTAAAAAGCTGAAAGAAGTCGCACCGGTTTTTGTCAAAAAACATGACAAGGAATGTTTTTAGCTGTCTGAGCTGGTTTAGGGTTTTAACTCGAGGCTGAAATTCAGAAAAAGAAGACGAAGCTTGAAGTTGAAGGAACTGAAAAGGTAGAATCTGATGAGAATGATTGGTTTTTCAACTCTTTTGTAGTTATTTCGATGGTTAGGTATGGAACAGATGAAGCAACACTGAAGGAAAAATTGAATGCCATGTTAGTTGAAACCAAGAACACAGTCAAAAAGAAATGGAGAAGGTTGGAGAGAAAAAAAACTGAAAGTCACTATTGTCAGAGGCGTTCTTGTCTCGTGGTAACTTTGTTAGCTTGAAAGTAGTAAAATCGGAAGCGAGATCCTTCACAATTTTCAAATATGCATCTATGCGATCATTCTTGGCTTCATACTTGCCATGAAACTGATTACCCTGAGTTGGCAGTAAGCATGAATGTTTCGAACACCGATTCCTTTGGAAAGTTGTAATCCAGCAATGAGGGCTTCATACTCTGCTCCATTGTTCGAGGCCGAGAATCCAAGACGAAAGGAATGTTCTAGAATTTCACCGTTGGGAGATTTGAGGCGAATGCCGTCTCCCGATCCTCGGTTGGAGGAGGATCCATTAGCGTGAAGGATCCATGGTTGCTCAACAGCTTGATGTTGATAAAGTCATGAAGGAGTTCAATCAAAAAGTCTGCTAACACCTGAGACTTTGTAGTAGTTCAATTTTTGTATTCGATGTCGTATTCAATGAGTTTGAATATCCATTTTGCCAATCAACCAGACTGGCTTAGGATGTGTAAGAATGTGTGCAGTAATTTATTGGTGAGTACAACAATCGAGTGTGACTGAGTACGATAATCAATTGGCCGAGTATATGGGCATAATTATTAATAGTTTTTTTTGCTTTTAACCTTTAATCATTATAAAACACAGATTATTAGTCTCCATAATCTCTTTTCTCTTATGCTTACTTCAAAAAAAAAAACACCAAAAGCTTTTATTTTTAAATCTCTCTCTCTCTCTCTCTCTCTCTCTCTCTCTTTTGAAACTCAAAAGTCTCAAATGGGAACAAGAAGAAGCACCAAGCTCCACTTACTGCATCTCTACATGAAGAAGATATCTTTAATTCTTGGCATGATGAACAAGAAGAAGAGCCGAAGAATCATGTGCAAGTACCGGTCAGTGAGCAGAAGATAAAACCGAGCCGTCGAAGAAAAATAGCAAGAAGTTGAAGGTGAAAGAGATTGTAGCGGCTGTGGACGGAAAAAGATGACATTACCATCTTGTATGGCATCATCAACTACAAAAGGAATCTGGTAAGTTCCCTAAAGACGAAATGGAAAGTTTTTACGAGTCACTGAAGGAAGATATAATCTACGAAGGTAAAAACCTTCAACAGTTTGTAAATTAGATTTACACGTTGAAGAAGAAATATCGCATTAAAAAGGTTAAAGAAGTCGCACCGGTTTTTGTCAAACAACATGACAAGGAATGTTTCGAGCTGTCTGAGCTGGTTAAGGGTTTTAACTCGAGGCTGAAATTCAGAAAAAGAATACGAAGCTTGAAGTTAAAGGAACTGAAAAAGGTAGAATCTGATGAGAATGATTGGTTTTTCAATTCTTTTGTTGTTATTTCGATGGTTAGGTATGGAACATATGAAGCAACACTGAAGAAAAAATTGAATGTCATGTTAGTTGTAACCAAGAAAACAGTCAAAAAGAAATGGAGAAGGTTGGAGAGAAAAACACTGTAAGTCACTGTTGTCAGAGGCGTTCTTGTTTCGTGGTAGCTTTGTTAGTTTGAAAGTAGTAAAATCGGAAGCAATATCCTTCACGATCTTCTAATATGCATCTATGCGATCATTCTTGGCTTCGTACTCGCCATAAAACTGATTTACCACGAGTTGGCAGTTAGCATGAATGTTCTAAACACTGATTCCTTTGAAAAGTCGTAATCCAGCAATAAGGGCTTCATACTCTGCTTCATTGTTCGAGGCCGAGAATCCAAGACAAAAGGAATGTTCTAGAATTTCACCGTTGGGATATTTAAGGAGAATGCCGACTCCCGATCCTCGGTTGGAGGAGGATCCATTAGCGTGAAGGATCCATGGTTGCTCAACAGGCTTGGTGTCGATAAACTCATGAAGGAGTTCGATCAAAAAGTCCGCTAACACCTGAGACTTTGTAGTAGTTCAATTTCTGTATTCGATGAGTTTGAATGTCCATTTTTCCAATCATCCAGACTGGCTTAAGCTGTGCAAGAATGTGTGCAGTAGTTTATTGGTGAGTACGACAATCGAGTGTGACTGAGTACGATAATCAATTGGCTGAGTGTACGGGCATAATTATTAATTTTTTTTTTTGCTTTTAGCCTTTAATCAATATAAAACACAGATTTTTAGTCTCCATAATCTCTTTTCTCTTATGCTTACTTCAAAAAAAAAACACCAAAAGCTTTTCTTTCTAAATCTCTCTCTCTCTTTTGAAACTAAAAAATCTCAAATGGGAACAAGAAGAAGCACCAAGCTCTACTTACTGCATCTCTACATGAAGAAGATATCTTTAATTCTTGGCATGAGGAACAAGAAGAAGAGCCGATGAATCATGTGCATGTACCGGTCAGTGAGCAGAAGATGAAAACCGAGCCGTCGAAGAAAAAAAGCAAGAAGATGAAGGTGAAAGAGATTATAGCGGCTGTGGACGGAAAAAAGATGACATTACCATCTTGTATGGCATCATCAACTACAAAAAGGAATCTGGTAAGTTCCTTAAAGACAAAATGGAAAGTTTTTACAAGTCACTGAAGGAAGATATCATCTACGAAGGTAAAAACTTTCAACAGTTTGTAAATTAGATTTACACGTTGAAGAAGAAATATCGCATTAAAAAGCTGAAAGAAGTCGCACCGGTTTTTGTCAAACAACATGACAAGGAATGTTTCGAGCTGTCTGAGTTGGTTTGGGGTTTTAACTCGAGGCTGAAATTCAGAAAAAAAAAGACAGAAGCTTGAAGTTGAAGGAACTGAAAAGCACTACAAGAAATTTGTTTATTGATAGCACAATATAATAGCTCATTTTTCTGAACTGCTATTATAAGTGATATCAGAGGTTGCCTTAATCTATCATAGCATTCAAAAAATGCTAAACTGGAAAACTCTAAGCAGGAAGCTAAAACTGTCATTTACCTCTCATAAATTCACGAAAGACCGCCAATACTTAACCAAAAAAATAAGGATTCAGCGCCCCAAGTCTATATGTCCAAAAAAGATACAAAGACCAAAAAAAATTAGAATTCTAAACAAAAAAACCCTTAGGACCCTAAATTTAATTCACGGAAAATCTCTGTCTCTCTCAAATCCCTCTCTCTGGTGGACTCCTTCTCTCTCACCGACTCCCTCTCGCTCGCCGACTTCCTCTCCCTCGCTGACTCCCTCTCGCTTGCTGACTTCCTCTCCCTCGCCAACTCCCTCTCTCTCTTCCTCCTGCGATTATAACCTCCCGAGCTTTGTCTCTCTTAGAATCGCTCATCTACATTAGCTTCGATTGCTAAACCCTAAGTTTTGATTTATCACTTTAACTGGATACAAAAGGAGATCAGCGATATCCCTCGTCGTCATATCTAATTCGAAACTGGCTTTGACCCTCCCCTTTTCATCCACTTCACAACCTTCTGGAATCCGAAAACCGGTTTGTCCCAAAAAAAAATCGGATGACAGATTCGATTCTAATGATCTGTTGGAGATGGTGGAATCTGGCTAGTAGTTTGCTTTAGGGTTTCCTCAGGTTAGTAATAGAAGTGCTTCTTCTTCTTAGAGCTATAGATTTAAGTAAAATGAGGGAATCGTGTTCCGTTTTGTAGCTTTATATCAATGGATTCTTCAATTGGTTAGGTTTCTCCTAATCTCACTCGTTTTCAAGAAATCCCGCATCTGTTCAATTTTCTTTTGTCTGACTGATGTTTGGAGCGTCGTCGTGATTTTTTATTCCGGCGAATTTGTTTTTGGTTAGAATGAATCGATGCATTCGGGAGCTGATGTGGATGCCTTTCTGGCCGCTCTGAATCGAGATATTTTAAGTTCGAGTTCACTTCCGCTCGTGACAAACCCAGGTTTGGTTCCGTCCCATTTTTTCTGCTTCCTTTTATGTTTTTCATCGTTCTCTCTGGAGATTGTACTTGTGGAGGATGAAAGCTAAAGTTTAAAAGCTAATGCGTATTGTAGAACTTATTGAGAAGAAGTGTTTGAATAGTTTATGAGGAATTTTATGTCAAATTCTGACATCTCCGTGACATCTTCGAACACATGGAAGGTCTTTTCTAATCTGATTTCGATGGAACTTCTCACCTTTATAATCAGTCTTGCTTTTGTTTTTGTTTTTGTGTCTTTTAATGAGGATTGCAGTAATATACTTCCTCTATGTCATTGTGGGCAGTCTGTTTGCTGTGTTGTCTGTTCGAAACATCCCATCAATCTGTTCTGGTGCTGCTTTCTTTGGGTTGATTGGAGCTATGCTTTCTGCACTTTGCAAGGCCAAGTATTCTTGTGGTCACTTTGTATCCCTGGTTATCTTTTTCTTATACCTTTGCTGATTTTGTTTGTGTCTTTTTCTCTTTAGCATGCTACAGATTTTATCCTTAGTGATAATATTCACTATCTATTTCTCAGACCTTAACATTTTTTTTCGTATGATTTCCAGAGGGTGAAGAAGAGGAGCACTCGTTTGACAGATTAGCCTCGTTCAGGTTTGGCTTCGAACACTCAGAAAATGAAAGGGGCAGGTGTTAAGAAGAAAACCGAGCTGGTGAACGACGCTGGTGAGGCGGATACGGTGGTGGAAATCGTCAGAGATAGCCTGAAAATAAGCGGTGATGGTGGGTTTGGCATTGATGACAGCGGAGGAGGTGGAGGTGGAAGTGGAGAATCGATGTAGCACGCAAAAAGTTCCATGTTGAGTTTGCTAAAAAATTGATTCAAGTGGTTGGTTCCACAGTTGCAGTGATGAAGACAGCAAAAGGGAAGTAGCGTGACACTATTTCAGGTATACACAGAGATTCTCTTTTGAACTCTAAATTGAGCTCTGTGAGACTCGCATTTTAATTTCTTTCGGGGAGTGCAATATTTAAAGTAGCTTGACACTTTTCTTCTTCTTAAGCTCTTTAGCTTTTGGTTTTTGTTCCGATTCTTTCTCTCTGTGCCTTAGAATTTATTCATTTTCTCAATTTTTTTTGGCAGAAAAGAAGAATGTTTGCTCAGAAGATAAGAAACCATACGACTGAAGCTGATGGTAATACCTCATAAACAGGTAGACTGCTAACCAGATTCAGAAAGAAGAAGTGATTTTAAGCTCTGGTTTGTGTCCTTAGAGAAATTGCAGTAGTTATGATGTTGTTTGATACCTTATATGTTGAAAGATGAACTACTTTGTAAAATTACGTTTATGTATTTTTGATGGTTTATTGAAAGAAACATGCATTTAACTAATCGGTTTTGTAAATATTATTAATCGGATTTCAAATATATATATATATATATGGAATAATATAGCATTTATCATTTTATGATGTAGCACGTAAAAGGTGCTACGACATAATATAAAATAACACCAAATATTTGCTAAAAAAAGAATATTAAAGCATGTGATTAGCGCTATGATAGAAAAATATATAATAGCATACGTGAAACCGATATTATATAGGGGGGGTGTCTATTATAGCTGCCGCTGTCCTAGCGTTTATGAAAATGCTATTATACCCCTATAATCGCTGTTTTCGTGTGCTATTAATATCATTTTTTTTGTAGTGAAGGTAGAATTTGATGAGAATGATTGGTTTTTTCAACTCTGTTGTTGTTTCGATGGTTAGGTACGGAACAGATGAAGCAACACTGAAGGAAAAATTGAATGCCATGTTAGTTGAAACCAAGAACACAGTAAAAAAAAATGGAGAAGGTTGGAGAGAAAAACACTGAAAGTCACTGCTCAAAAGAATGAATTTGTGCATCATGTAGCCACTTTGTTCGGTTAAGCATCAGTCAAACCGTTAGGGTTTTTTTTCTGGTTTATTTTGTTATGGATCTTTGTTTATATGGTTAAATCTTATTTTGGTTGCTTACTTACGTTTCTGTTTCCGAGCTGAGAAGACAACTGGGAATGCAAACTTTTCTAAGCTCGGATACCTCTATTCTGATCTGCCAAATGATTTGCGGATGTAGAATATCGGTTTCTGATTACCTCGGTCTTCCCGAACTAAGACACTGCTAACGGCTGCCACCGAGATTGCGATGTGGAGGTAAAGTGCTTCATCTGTCTCCAACTTAGAGAGGACTGGAGGAGTGGACATATACTTTTTGAGTTCTGTGATAGCTTCCTCGCACGTTTTGTTCCATTCAAGATGCTTATTTTCGCAAAGGAGTTGGTAATATGACATACATTTATCCGTAGATCGGGATATGAATCGGTTCAGAGCTGTTATTCGTCTTGTTAACCGCTGGACCTCTCTTTTATTCGTCGGAGAGGGTAGTTCGAGAATTGCCGCAATCTTCTTAGGGTTTGCTTTGATCCCTTATTGAGTACCAATATATCTGAGGAATTCTCTTCATGTTACACCGAATGTGCATTTAGTAAGATTAAGCTTCATACCATATTGGTTGAGGGTGCATGAAGATCTGGTTATAGCCAGAAAACGCGTCCACAAAGGATAGTACTGTAGTTTATTTTCTGCAACTGGTTCTACAAGCCTATTGATGTGTGGTAGAGGGAAGTTGTCTTTGGGGCATGCGTTGTTCAGGTCTGTGAAGTTGACACAAATCCTCAACATTCCATTCTTCTTTTTGACGAAATCGGGTTAGCCAACCAGTCTGGATAGTTGACTTTGGTGATTGATCCCGCCTTAAGTAACCGCTCGACCTCATCGTTAACCGAGCTTCCTTCATTTCTGTTTGATTAGCTTGTAAGTGGGGTCAATGTTAAGCTTGTGACATGCAATCTGCAGATCAGTCCCACGCATATCCTCGACTAACCAAGTAAACATTGCCGAGTTTTGGTTTAGGAAGTCAACAAGACTTTCTCTGATGTTTGGATCTAGTTTGGCGCTGATACCGACCTGATGTTCAGGTCGTAGTTCATCAATACAGACTTGCGTTACGATTTCTTCCTTGAGTTTTACCTTCTGAAGGGTGGGATCGCTTGGAACAATTTAAGAGCTGACGACACAAGAATGGTTAGTTGTTCGAAGCTTGCTTTTGTTGATGTAGCAAGAGCGGGCGACCGCTTGATTTCCTTTGAGAGTGTAAATTCCTTAAGGAACTGGTGGTAGGTCGACGCAACTACTTTCATCGCGTGGAGCCAGGGCGAACCTATATCGCGTTGTAGATCCCTGGCTTATCGAGGATGAGAAACTGAATAATCTTTGCTACTCCGGCGATGTAGATCAGAATTTTCACTGTTCGGTGAGTGGTCATGCAGCGTTCTCCATCAAATTCGGTGAGTGGCTCTATGAAGGGTTCCATCTTTTCTGCCGGGGGGTCGAGCTGGTCTAGTACGTCCTTGAAGATTATGTTGACTAAGCTTCCAGTGTCGATCAAGATTCTACTAACTTCCATGTCGTCGAGAAGCAATTTGACGACTAGAGCATTGTTATGAGGCATTTGTAGTCCGATGGTGTCTGCTTCCGTGAATACCAAGGGGGCGATTTTGGTGATGATATTAGTGAATTAAGCTGCGGTGACGACATGTCTGCTATATTCCTTAACGGTGCGGACTGAGTAGCTACAAGTTTCGATGGTACCCATGATCATAGTTACTATTTTCCGAGCTTTGGGATATGGTTATCTTGCGCCGGATTCTCACGGTCGCGTTTTTATTGTTCGGGCTAGGCGAGTTGGTTAGGTGGTGCCGTGATCGCGGGTAATTCCTTGGGTAGCTTGTTGTCCTGTAAATTATTAGGTCTCGGGGTCTTGCTACTTCCCTTTTGGAAGTTGGATTGACACAGGTCCTCAGGTGATATATATATATATATATATATATATATATATATATATCCTGTGCAAAACTGTTCGAGCAGATACTCTCTCAAGTGTCGACACTTTTTGGTATTTTGACATTTGCGATCATGAAATTCACAAAATAGTGAATCATCTTCATCAGTTCGATAGTACTTGTTCCACGACTTATTTTGCGTTTACGCTGTTGCTGTAGAACTTCTTTCGGTTATCGAAACATCTGCCATAGCCTGGCTGGAGCTCGCCGACATCTGTCTTAGGTCGTTCCTTGGAGTCGACCTGCTTTGGTGCGTAGGCTTGGTCGTGGGCGGCTTCTTCTTCTTCTTCAGTAATGTAAGTGTTAATTCGCTGTAAGGCGTCTTCCAAGGTATGGGGTCGGTTGTGTTTAAATGCTCTACGGAATTTGTTTTTATTCAAGCTGCCTTGTGCAAGCATTTGTGAGTAGCTTTGTCACTGACCGTACAGTGGGCTACCACCGACTTGAAGCGGTGAATAAAATCGTGTAGGCTTTCATTCTCTCCTTGAGCTATCCACCACAATTAAGAGTTCTTCGTTTCTGGCCGATGAACATTGAGAAGTGTTTAACGAATGCCGTAGTTAGCTCCTTGTAGCTGTTGATTGAGTTCGCCTCTAACCAAGAGAACCAATCGAGAGAGATTCCGAAGAGGTTCTCGATGAATAACTTACATTGCACTGCATCCCTTTCTTCTGCCATCCTAAATTGGTACTGGTTCATGCAGATGCCTAACAAGGTCAAGAAGTGGCGCGAGTCTGAATCTTCTTCATATGTTTTGATCTTTAGTTTCTCTAGATACCGAACTGGTGTGCTGGCGATGCATGGTGTGAAAGGTGTTTTCTGTATTTCCTGAATGACGTTGTCGATCTCGGGGGAGAACTGGTTGCCTGCTGAACTCGTGACGTAATCTGGCAAAGGTGTGCCTTCATTGCCCCGAACTCAGCGTCTCAAGTTAGGTTAGGCGGAATGACTGGCGCGTTCTGTTGATCCGAGGGCGACAGAGCGCATCGTTGTAGTAGGTTCTCCTTCAATGTTGAGGTCGGTTATGATGTTGCGACCTTGTAACGGAGTCGGGCTTGACTGAGCTCGACAATTTAGGCTACCATCAGGCTAAAGCGTTCGTCACTCCGCTTGGTAATGACTCGAGTGTGCG